TAACCATGGCCATAGACCATAAGGAGGACCATGATCATCATTAACCATGGGTATAAACCATGAGGAGGACCATGATCATCATTAACCATGGGTATAGACCATGAGGAGGATCATCATCATCATCACCAACCATGGGAATAGACCATAGAGGATCATCATCATCATTAACCATGGGTATTACCCATGGTTAATGATGATCGTCATCCTCCTTATGGTCTATACCCATGTTTAATGATGATCGTGATCCTCCTCATGGTGTATACCCATGGTTAATGATCATCATGATCCTTCCCATGGTCTATACCCATGGTTAATGATGATCATGATCCTCCTCATGTTCTATACCCATGGTTAATGATGATCATGATCCTCCTCATGGTATATACCCATGGTTAATGATGATCGTGATCCTCCTCATGGTCTATACCCATGGTTAATGATGATCATGATCCTCCTCATGTTCTATACCCATGGTTAATGATGATCGTGATCCTCCTCCTGGTCTATACCCATGGTTAATGATGATCGTGATCCTCCTCATGGTCTATACCCATGGTTAATGATGATCGTGATCCTCCTCATGGTCTATACCCATGGTTAATGATGATCATGATCCTCCTCATAGTCTATGCCCATGGTTGATGATGATCGTGATCCTCCTCATGGTCTATACCCATGGTTAATGTTGATTGTGATCCTCCTCATGGTCTATACCCATGGTTAATGTTGATTGTGATCCTCCTCATGGTCTATACCCATGGTTAATGTTGATTGTGATCCTCCTCATGGTCTATACCCATGGTTAATGATGATGATAATCCTCTTTATGGTCTATACCCATGGTTAATGTTGATTGTGATCCTCCTCATGGTCTATACCCATGGTTAATGTTGATTGTGATCCTCCTCATGGTCTATACCCATGGTTAATGATGATCATGATCCTCCTCATGGTCTATACCCATGGTTAATGTTGATTGTGATCCTCCTCATGGTCTATACCCATGGTTAATGATCATGATCCTCCTCATGGTCTATACCCTATACCCATGGTTAATGATGATAATGATCCTCCTCATGGTCTATACCCATGGTTAATGTTGATTGTGATCCTCCTCATGGTCTATACCCATGGTTAATGATGATAATGATCCTCCTCATGGTCTATACCCATGGTTAATGTTGATTGTGATCCTCCTCATGGTCTATACCCATGGTTAATGATGATCATGATCCTCCTCATGGTCTATACCCATGGTTAATGTTGATTGTGATCCTCCTCATGGTCTATACCCATGGTTAATGATGATAATGATCCTCCTCATGGTCTATACCCATGGTTAATGTTGATTGTGATCCTCCTCATGGTCTATACCCATGATTAATGATGATCGTGATCCTCCTCTTGGTCTATACCCATGATTAATGATTATCGTGATCCTCCTCATGGTGTATACACCATGGTTAATGATGATCATGATCCTCCTCATGGTGTATACATATGGTTAGTGATGATCATGATCCTCCTAGTGGTCTATACCCATGGTTAATGATGATGATGATCCTCTATGGTCTATACCCATGGTTGGTGATGATGATGATCATGATCTTCCTCATGGTCCATACCCATGGTTAATGATGATCGTGATCCTCCTCATAGTCAATACCCATGGTTAATGATGATCGTGATCCTCCTCATGGTCAATACCCATGGTTAATGATGCTCGTAATCTTCCTCATGGTGTATACCCATGTTTAATGATGATGATGATCCTCCTCATGTCTATACCCATGGTTGATTATGATGATGATCCTCTTCATGGTCTATACCCATGGTTAATGATGATCATGATCCTCCTCATTGTCTCTACCCATGGTTGATTATGATGATGATCCTCCTCATGGTTTATACCCATGGTTAATGATGATCGTGATCCTCCTCATGGTCAATACCCATGGTTAATGATGCTCGTAATCTTCCTCATGGTGTATACCCTTGGTTAATGATGATCATGATCCTCCTCATGGTGTATACCCATGGTTAATGATGATCATGATCCTCCTCATGGTTTATACCCATGGTTAATGATGATCATGATCCTCCTCATTGTCTATACCCATGGTTGATTATGATGATGATCGTGATCCTCCTCATGGTGTATACCCATGGTTAATGATGATCATGATCCTCCTCATGGTTTATACCCATGGTTAATGATGATCATGATCCTCCTCATTGTCTATACCCATGGTTGGTGATGATGATGATGATCCTCCTCATGGTCTACACCCATGGTTAATGATGATCCTCATGGTCTATACCCATGGTAAATTATGATCGTGATCCTCTTCATGGTCTATACCCATGGTTCATGATGATGATGATCCTCTTTATGGTCTATGCCCATGGTTGATTATGATGATGATCGTGATCCTCCTCCTGGTCTATACCCATGGTTAATTATGATCATGATCCTCCTCATGGTCTATACCCATGGTTAATTATGATCATGATCCTCCTCATGGTCTATACCCATGGTTGATTATGATGATGATCGTGATCCTCCTCCTGGTGTATACCCATGGTTAATTATGATCATGATCCTCCTCATGGTCTATACCCATGGTTAATTATGATCATGATCCTCCTCATGGTCTATACCCATGGTTAATGATGATCCTCATGGTCTATACCCATGGTAAATTATGATCGTGATCCTCTTCATGGTCTATACCCATGGTTCATGATGATGATGATCCTCTTTATGGTCTATGCCCATGGTTGGTGACGATGATGATGATCACGATCCTCCTCAAGGTCTATACCCATGGTTAATGATGATCGTGATCCTCCTTATGGTCTATACCAATGGTTAATGATGATCGTGATCCTCCTCATGGTCTATACCCATGGTTGATGATGATGATCATCATGATCATCCTCATGGTCTATACCCATGGTTAATGATGATGATGATCATTATCCTCCTCATGGTCTATACCCATGGTTAATTATGATCATGATCCTCCTCATGGTCTATACCCATGGTTAATGATGATCCTCATGGTCTATACCCATGGTAAATTATGATCGTGATCCTCTTCATGGTCTATACCCATGGTTCATGATGATGATGATCCTCTTTATGGTCTATGCCCATGGTTGGTGACGATGATGATGATCACGATCCTCCTCATGGTCTATACCCATGGTTAATGATGATCGTGATCCTCCTTATGGTCTATACCCATGGTTGATGATGATCATGATCTTCCTCATGGTCTATACCCATGGTTGATGATGATCATGATCTTCCTCATGGTCTATACCCATGGCTGATGATGATAATGATCTCGATCCTCCTCATGGTCTATACCCATGGTTAATGATGATCATGATCCTCCTCATAGTCTATGCCCATGGTTGATGATGATCGTGATCCTCCTCATGGTCTATACCCATGGTTAATGATGATGATGATCCTCTATGGTCTATATCCATGGTTGGTGATGATGATCATGATGATCATGATCCTCCTCATGGTCTTTACCTATGGTTAATGATGATCGTGATCCTCCTCATGGTCTATACCCATGTTTAATGTTGATTGTGATCCTCCTCATGGTCTATACCCATGATTAATGATGATCGTGATCCTCCTCATGGTCTATACCCATGATTAATGATTATCGTGATCCTCCTCATGGTGTATACACCATGGTTAATGATGATCATGATCCTCCTCATGGTGTATACATATGGTTAGTGATGATCATGATCCTCCTCGTGGTCTATACCCATGGTTAATGATGATGATGATCCTCTATGGTCTATACCCATGGTTGGTGATGATGATGATCATGATCCTCCTCATGGTCAATACCCATGGTTAATGATGCTCGTAATCTTCCTCATGGTGTATACCCATGTTTAATGATGATGATGATCCTCCTCATGGTCTATACCCATGGTTGATTATGATGATGATCCTCCTCATGGTCTATACCCATGGTTAATGATGATCATGATCCTCCTCATTGTCTATACCCATGGTTGATTATGATGATGATCCTCCTCATGGTTTATACCCATGGTTAATGATGATCGTAATCTTCCTCATGGTGTATACCCTTGGTTAATGATGATCATGATCCTCCTCATGGTGTATACCCATGGTTAATGATGATCATGATCCTCCTCATGGTGTATACATATGGTTAGTGATGATCATGATCCTCCTCGTGGTCTATACCCATGGTTAATGATGATGATGATCCTCTATGGTCTATACCCATGGTTGGTGATGATGATGATCATGATCCTCCTCATGGTCTATACCCATGGTTGATTATGATGATGATCCTCCTCATGGTCTATACCCATGGTTAATGATGATCATGATCCTCCTCATGGTTTATACCCATGGTTAATGATGATCATGATCCTCCTCATTGTCTATACCCATGGTTGATTATGATGATGATCGTGATCCTCCTCATGGTCTATACCCATGGTTAATGATGATGATGATCCTCCTCATGGTCTATACCCATGGTTAATTATGATCGTGATCCTCCTCATGGTCTATACCCATGGTTGATGATGATCATGATCCTCCTCATGGTCTACACCCATGGTAAATTATGATCGTGATCCTCCTCATGGTCTATACCCATGGTTAATAATGATGATAATCATGATCCTCTTTATGGTGTATACCCATGGTTGATGATGATCCTCCTCATGGTCTATACCCATGGTTGATGATGATCATGATCCCCCTCATGGGCTATACCCATGGTTGATGATGATCATGATCCCCCTCATGGGCTATACCCATGGTCTTAAGTCTGTGGCTCCCCCAAATTTGCCAATTTTTTTCTTGCATGACATCTCTGTTAATAGTTCTTTATTCTTAAGTTAGTTAGTTATAACCACTAAACGTAAATGACTTGAGTGAAATTGGACTGACTGAATAATGAAGAATAAATACTTTTCAGTGACCTAGCTGTTCGTCGTGTTAACGATCAGCTAATGATGGTGGAGCGAGCGTTTATTGATCCCCTTGGATTACCCGGACGTCCAGAGTACAAGTAAGTTTCTATATATTAATATACAGGTATATATATATATATATATATATATATATATATATATATATATATATATATATATATATATATATATATATATATATATATATATATATATATATATATATATATATATATATATGTATATATATATATATAATTTTTTTTTTTATCTCTTCTTCTTTTATTTATAAATATATTTAGATATATGGTTATTCACATCAGTTGGCTCCATCTAAATGTCTTTAATCCTCCCCCTGCGCCTCTCAGTGACGTTTAAAGAGCCCAGTCAATTTTCCTTGCTTCTTATTCAAGTTAATGATTTCAGTTCAATTTATAGAACAACTTTGCTTTCACATAAATCAGTGGAAGCTTTTAAACAGAGTTTTCAGGTCAATTCATTATGAAAATAGACCAATAGAAATATGAGGGATCAGCTGTGACATCACCTCTTGAACAGGTCAGGTCATTATCGGAACACAAAAGTCAGGGATCATCTCATAATGTAGCATCAAGTCAAGCATGCACACATACACTACTACTACTACTGCTTTGCTGTCACACGGAATCAAGTATGACGATCATCCAGCTATGAGACAATAATATGAGTTATTAAGGATGTCACCATCATTGGTGAGTTTTAAGATGGCATTTTTTCAGGTTTGTCTTAAGAGTATCCTTATACCTTTTCAGTTGCCCGCAGACGTTACGTTTACTATTCGTTAGGTGACTGTAAAGTAGCTGGTTTGGCAGTCTACTGTCATCCATGCGGGTAACATGGCCGGTCCAACATACTTGTTCATGGATAATGGTAGCCTCGATGCTCCTACAGTTGATGTCATCTGAATACTGGCATTTGTTCTTTTGTCTTCCCAACAAACTGGGAGTATGGAGTGTAGGCTACATTGGTAAAAGTTTTCAAGTGTGTTGAGGTGCCTCCTGTATGTGACCCATGTCTCACTGCCATATAGCAGGGTGGGAAATACCACTGCTCAATATACGTGCAACTTTGTAAATAATTTCAGCTCCCTACAGCTGAAACACGGGTACGGAGTCTGCCAAAGGCTTGAGATACACATCTGATCCGATGTTGAATCTCTTCATTGATGTCCGCGGTGGTGGACAGTTGGGAGCCGAGATACTGAAGGTGGGTAACATTAGAGAGGGTAGTACCGTTAAACTGGATGGATGGTGGAGGTGTGGCTGAACCAGCGGCAGGGTGAAAGAGAATCTGAGTGTCAAGGCCAAAATGTGCATAGGCATTTGCTTAGGTGTTCAGGATTTCCTGTAGTTCGCATTCAGTGTGAGCGACAAGGGTGAGGTCATCTACATCATGAAGTTTAGTAATGGAAGCTGCCGACACCTTTGTTCCTGCCTGGAGTTGTCTTATGTTTAAAAGACTCTTCATCTGGTACTGAATGTCCACCCTGCTGGTTAAATTGGCACTGGCACGAGTAAGAAGGCAACTAAGAAAATGGAGAAGAAAGTTGGTGCCAGTACACATCCTTGTTTTACCCCAGTTTGGATGGGGAAGAACTCAGACTGGGTGCCATTGTGCAGGACGCTGCTATTCATGCCATCGTGGAGTTGCCACATGATGGTGATGAATTTTGGTGGGGAGCCAAAACGGCTGAGGGTCCGCCAGAGGACTTCCCTGTTGACTGAGTTAAAGGCCTTGGTTAGAGCGATGAAGGCCATGTACAGATCACGACGCAGTTCTCTGCACTTTTCCTGTATCTGGCGGGCAGCAAAGATCATGTCAGTGGTGCCATGTGATGGTTTAAAGCCACATTGAGATTCTGGGAGGAAGTTTTTTGCCCCAAGAAGAAGTCTGTTTTGGAGGACTCTGGCGATAATGTTGTCGGCTACGGATATCAGCAAGATCCTGCAGTAGTTGCAACAGTCTGACCGGTCTCCCTTGTTCTTCTAAATATTGACAATGGAGGCATCTTTAAGAGCTTGGGGGATTTCCTCCTTTTCCCATATACAGTATTCTCCAGGAGAGAGTGGAGACGGCTGATGAGCAGAGGTCCTCCTCCTTTATACACCTCGACTGGGATTCTATCAGGCCCTGAGGCTTTGTTATTTTTCATCTGTTTGGTGGTAGTAACTACCTCGTCCAGGGATGGAGGATAGCTGAGGTGGATCAGCTCTGGATGCTGAGGGACCTGCTGGGTAGTCAGGACATCCACATCGGTGTGTCAGTTGTGCAGCGAATGGTAGTGCTTTTACCAGTGCTGGCGGATGCCTTCTTCTTCTTTAATTAGGGAGTTACCGTCGGATGAACGGAGGGGGGCTGTGACATGAGTGATTGGCCCATAAAATGTTTTAGTGGAATTGAAAAATTCGCTCATCTTTTGTTGATCTGTAAGTTTTTGCGTTTCACATGCTTTATTTTTAAACCAGTCGTTCTTTAGTTTGCAAAGTTCCCGCTGGGCTGCTGCCTTCTTCTTGCGGAAGGTATCAGCTTTGGTCCGAGACTGAGGAATGTTCTGCCAGTCAGTTAAAGCAGCACGTTTATCATCATTGATTTCCGGGTCATTTTCATCAAACCGGTCCTGGTATATTCTTTCGATCTGGTTTTTGTCATGACAGTGTCGAGAATACCCCATTTGGCACTGGGATTTGGGTTGTTTGTTGTCGGGTTGTTTATCAGCCATGTTCGATCTGTTCTCTGAAGCAAATGCTACCGCTGGATCCTCCAGACGCTTAGTGTTAAAACCTCTTCTTGAGGCTTGTTGCCTTCGCCGTTTTGGGGCGACTTGAAGTGAGAGCTTAGCTCTGACGAGCCGATGATCAGTGTCGCAGTGGTCTGACCCACGCTTACTTGGGTGATGAGGACATCTCGGCGATCTCTTTCTCTGACAATGATGTAGTCATGAGATGCCAGTGTATGGATCGTGGGTGTTGCCATGAACCCTTGAACTTGTCAGCCTGCCTAAACAAAGTATTGGTGATAGTGAGGTTGTGTGCAGCACACTTCCTGGGGAGGAGTAGGCCATTGAGATTGCACTTGCCTTGTCCATTCCTCCCTATGGTTCCCTGGCAAATGTTAGCATCCCTGCCAACTCTGGGATTGAAGTCACCAAGGAGCATAACCTTATCTTCTCTGGGGATAGAGATTAGCACTCTGTCAAGGTCAGCATAAAAGGCCTCTTTGATGTCATCCACTGCATCCAGTGTTGGGGCATATGCACTGATAAAGAAGGTATGACGTGACTGATTCAGTGGGACTATGGGTGTCATGAGGCGCTCGTTGATCCCAACAGGCGTTTCAGTTAGCCTGTGTAGGATGTGTTGGCGGATGGCAAAGCCAAATCCATAAATGCTGTTTCTCTCCGCAGCAGGCTTACCCTTCCAGAAAAAGATACAGTAGGGTCGGGATATATCGCAACTTTATATAACGATTTTTTTAAATCGCAGCTACCAAAATTATCAAAATTTTCCTATATATAGCGATAATTTTTTTATTTTGTGAGGGAAATCGGGCGGGAAATATTTCAAATGTACCGCCATGGCAAACAAATGCGTTATTTGCCCACCAGAGGCGCCACCGTGGCTTCTCACTCACATATTCACGCTCGCCCGCTCAGTCTTTCTGAGTGAGTGACGAGAAATCAGCCGACTCTGTTGCAGATTGCGACTTCTATGGTGAGTGTAAATGTGTTGCAGTGATGTGTAAAGTGAAGTGAGGATAATGTAAAGCTTAATGGAAAAGATTTAATACAGTAACTAATATTTTTGGTTTGTTCGTTTATGATTGTTAAGTGAGGGTGGCAGTGTGTTGTCTGTTGTTCTCGGGATGGTGTGTCATCTGCTGAGTCTGGTGCAGATTCAAATTTCTAAAGTGAGTGTAAATGGGTTGCCAGTGACGTGAAATGTGAAGTAAAGATAATGGAAAGCTTAATGGAAAAGATTTAATACTGTAACTAATATTTTTGGTGTTCGTTTATGTAGGTGTGGGATTGTCAAGTGAGGGTGGCATTGTGGCGCCTGCTGCCGAGTCTGGTGCTCCCAGGATGGTGCGTCAGCTGCTGAGTCTGGTGTTCCTGAGTCTGGTGTTCCTTGATATTGATATAGCCCGTTGTTCCCGAGTCTGGTGTTCATTGGCGCTTTAATTAGTAAGAAAATGAACTAGTTAAGTCAAGTTTAGTCACTTTTTTGGGCCTCCAGAACCCAACCCTATTTTTCCCATATATCGCGATTTAGTATACAGTTTAGCGAACAGCTTTAGACCCTATTTTGCGATATATCCCGACCCTACTGTATAGCCAGACCCCCGTTCTGTGAGTCGACCCTCGTCTGGGAGCCGGGACTCACTCATGGTTGCTATGTCGATGTTATTAGCCAGCTCTTTTGCCACAAGGACGGCTCTTCTTTCGGGACTCTCATTTGTGCCAGTATCCAGAAGGGTCTTGACATTCCATGCAGTGTCCATAAGAACTTTTATAGTTTGTTTTTGTTTTGATCTGATATTATAATTGTGTTTTTTATTGCATCAGGATGACATTACTGGGTGCAGCTGCCCAGTCAGGTTGGTTCTTTAGGCATGCTAAGTTTAGGGCACCTTTTCTAGCCCCCTCCTCATGTAGGGTGAGCAGAGTGGCTCCTCGAAAGGACTGCTCAGTCGCACAGACAGGATTGGATTGTACTGCTGCCTAGATCCCAGTGCGTAAACGATCATTTTATTTGTGCCGTCCCTGTGCAGAGTTGTGACTAGAGTCTCCCGGCAGTCATCTCTGCCTGTCCCCGTTGCCCTAGGACTTTTCGGATATAAGGGTTTGATGATGATGCGGAGTATGATGAGCTGGATGATGGCTGTGCGTTAGTTGATTTATGTGGTGAGGCAGGAGTGCAGACTGCAACCACTCATCTTGGCTCCCCTTTTCCTGATCCAGTGGTGCAAGTGTTGCAGCGACTAGGGAAAGAGAGAGTTGCAATGGACTGCCTACAGCCCAGTTTGTTGGGTTTCGCCCGTAGTAGCCTGTCCGTCATGCATTGCCTTCATATGCTGGTGTAG